TTAGAAACATACATAGCTTATACTGTTAAATGTGTATTGCGAAACTTCCGCCTATTCTCCAGAGTTGTAGAAGATTCTCGAGAGTAAGAATCAACAATATATGTATGTACGTAAACGCTTAAATATAGTTCTGAAATTTCTAGAAAGCCTCCCACACGCCTATAAATATAACCAACGCGACGCGCAAAAATGGGAGTATCTATTATTAGTTTGCTATAGTCAGTGTGCTATAAACTTCGGAAGCTATAACTGTGATTGTTATAACGCTTACCAACTGGAAAACTTCAGATATTTGACCAGAAACCTTTACAAAGCTCGAACATTACAAATCATTTAACTTCAGTGGATTCTCATTGGACATTAGTATTTTTTACGAAAACATTATATAAATTTATCGTGTAGAGCTCAGCGTGTGTGTCAAACAACTAAAAAAGGTATTGGTATATTGTTAGTCATCTTCTGACTGAACATAAGGAGAAAATACCAGTTTAATAAATAACGAAACGTCCGGCATAAAGTATCTAAAAAAGCACCTTAGGTGTGAAAAATGGTTCGGCCAAAAAAGGATAGAACGTGCGACTTAAAGGAATGAAATCAAAATTAGCACCCTAACTGGTAGTTACACTTATAGCATTGATAAGAATTTTACAGCGAATATTCATTCATTAGTTCGCCAGGCCGCGTTTTTTTTTTTGTTGAACTTGGGGCATGACTGTGGGTAAAACTTATGCTATAAGTGTAGCTACCAGTTTGGCCACCAATTTAAGTCGCATGCTCAATCCTTTTTTGGCCGTACTTTTTTTTTCACACCTAAGGTGTTTTTTATTACATATTATGACTTTTCTCAATACATACCAGTAAACCACAGTAAGTTAGAAAGTGACACTCGATAGTAACTGACATTAGCTTTAGGATCGCAACCCTATTATTCAGAACAAACGTATACTGTTCAGAACCAATCATATCCTTTAAAATATATGGTGAAAGTTTTTTCTTTCTAAACGTAAAACAGCGTTAATAACTTTCTTTATAGTAACACCATGTAAACTGGATTAACAGTTTCTTGTCATCACCTGCCTGCAATCTGTACAGCCGTATCAAGCACCATTATTTACGCTGATTGCTTAAGCTAATATCGCGTGATGCTAAACGGTCTTTAATTAGGATAATTTCATAAAAGTTAGCAAACTTGTCATGAATAATGAATAATAAAGTCTTCCCGAATGATTCTTTTGCAAACTTCAGCTAGAAAGTGCTTTCACCCTTTAGTTTTGCTGCTTTAAATCGGCCGTCTTTAATCCGAATGACAAAAAACTAAAAACGGTTCACTTTTACTCTTAGCTGAAGCTGTAGTAAATATTTTAGACCAATAGCTCACGTGACGTTTTGCGTAGGCGTGAGCAAAATGTTTGGTCAAAATTAAATTAATTTTTATTGAATAACTTTGCACTTATGGTTTATATG